GCCCGTCGAGTTCGGCACCGTCATCTACGACCTCGAGACGATCCACGACGCCGAGCGAGGAGCTGCCCACAGCTCCTGCTGCTTGCCGTGGCTAGCCGAGCGCAGGGCTCTTCTCGATTCCTCCGATTCGATTCGACCCGATTCGATTCCGATCGCCGCCGATTCCGGTGCGATTCGACCTCGGATTCCGATTTGGGATTCCGATGTCTCACTGGAGTCCCTACCAGCCTGCCGATTTCCGCCGACTCGACTCCTCCCGCTGTGGCTGCCGATCTCCGCCGATCTGATTCATTCCGATCGCCGATCCGGCTCATCGAGTCGATACTGGGCGCTCTTGCACTGTGGGCTGGCCGTGGCTCGCCGAGCGCCGGGGAAGAGCAATTGCCGAATAGGAAAGAACACGACATAACAATTTTTTTTTATGCGTTTTGGCGCTCCGCGCGGATTTCTTGGGTCCGCGTTGAGATCCCCTTGGCGGCGCCTCCGGCGACGCCCCTGGCGCGCCCCGCGAGCCAGGGAGGGGGGTCCAGCGCGGATCCAAGAAATCCGCGCGGAGTGTCAAAAGCTTGTGCCTTTGCCGTTTTTTTCTTGGAACAGCGGCACGAAAGCAACGGGTACGGTCGGACCGAAGAGTAAGATCGAGGTCGGTTCGGGCAGGGTGCCTTGATGTCCTACGTGCTTGTAGGATGTGATTGTGCATCCTCGGGGAGGGTACTCTCAAATAAATGTTCCTCACTTTGGCCGGCGGAGGGTCTCATGTTCTTGATGTACAATCTTCTGTTCTTAGTCCGGCCGTATGGAACAAGTGGATCTAGGCCTCTTGGATGGGCTCTGAGTAGCAAATGTGGTCGGAGGATCGCCCCGCATCGCCAATGTATCAGCGATGCGGCTCCATGCGGAGCCCCATTTTCCATGTGGACGTTGCCGCTTCGCCGACGTCGCTGACGCATCGCCGATGCATCGACGATGCATCGCCAATGCATCACCAATACATCGGCGAGGCGATGCGGCGAGATCCTCTGGCCCCATCTGCTCCGACCCCATCTGGGAGGCCTGTAATGGATACGAAGACCGACAGCATGTCCTGATAATTCTGAACAGGACTAGCTGTGGGTGTCGCCGCGGACGTTGTCCATTTGCAGCAGAAGGCCGTCTGTCCAACAGCTGCCGCTGTCGGGTTGGACAACAGCTGTTGTCGGGCATCGTACCCATCTTTGTCTGTACCCATGTCGGGCGTCCACAGAACAGCAGCAACACTGGGCAGTGGGGTCAGCAATAGCAGAAACACGAAGGGCGAAGGAGGAGGGGAGCATGATCTGTTTAGCCTGCACCGCGCCTTGGTGATCTGTTCCGAGGTTTTCGTCGGGAAGAAGGGCCCAGGGGTTCCGAGGTTTCCAGCACTTGTGCGGAAGGCTCCAGAGACGGGAGGAGCAGGGAGGGAGGGAGGGAGGAGGGGGCAGAGAAGAAGGTTCTGGGGATTTGTCTTGTGCACTCAGTGAGGTCAAGATGTGCCTTGGTGTGGCGTCTTCCCCAGCGCTAAAGTCAATCACCGAGGGAGGAGCACGAGGTGGAGGGAGTTTCAGGGGGAAGAGTAGGAGGTTGAGGGTCTGTAATCTTTAGCGCAGGAGGAGGCTGACGAGGAGCACGGTCGATGCATCCCACGGGCCAAGGCGGAAATAAGGACCACTTCGGGACCAGGCGGGGCGGGCCGCTCCTGAGATTTAGGTCGTGCAACCTTCTCGAGCCCGAGGCTCGCAGTCGCTATAAAAGCCGCCTGGCTCGTTATTGAGGACGGGAGCTATGTTTTGGATGTTTCTGGGGAAGCTCGGAGGCCCTGGAGAGAACTTGGGGGTTAAATTGGGGTCTGATTGACGCAGGGGGGGGGGGGGGAATGACGAGAAGGAGCGACGAGGAGGGACGACGATGAGGCAGCCATGGAGCAGGAGGAGGCAAGGGACGAGGATGGATGGAGAAAGGAGGTCGGAGGAGGGAGGAGGAGAAGTGGGAGGAAGGGCAGGGAGGGACGAGGAGGGAATGAAGAAGGAGGCGGAGGAGGAGGAGGAGGACAGGATGACGAGGAACAGGGAGGAGGAGGCAGGGAGGAGGGGGGGGGATAGGAGGAGGAGGGCTGGCAGGACAGGAAGGGCGGTGGAGAGGAGGCACGAGCAGGCGGTACAGGTGCTGGAGGCAGAGGGGCGCAGGGGGCCAGCATAGAGGGGCACGGCTCTCGCCCGCGCGGCGCCCTCCCTCCAGGAATCTACGCGGACAAGGGCCTTTTTGAGTGCGAGCACTCGGAGCAAATTGTTTGGAAGAGGCCGCTCCCCCCCCGCATCCACAGCTTTCTGGCTCTTCGGGCGCCAGCGTCGGTTCTGGGAGATCTTCCAGCCGCGTGATGCGCTGTCCAGTATTTGCACCTCGCCGAGACCAACCTCCCACAGACTCCTTGGGCGTTTCAGGGAGCCCCAACGAATAATCCAGATTTCGTAATAAAGGGAGGGGGGTTTATTTCGGGGGGGGGGGTCTCTTCCAGGCTATCTTGGAGGGCCTGGGGGGTCTGGGGACGATGTTTTGGAGGGTTCTCCCACGGGGGAGGTCTGAAATGGCTTGTCTTGGAGGGTCCAGACCCCCTCCCTTTTATTATGAAATCTGGAGTAATCATTTGGTCGAAGCTTAGACCGATCGCTCCGAGTCTTGAGCCGCGGCCTCCGGGGGCGCCCGGATCGTCCCGAGAGCGGCCGCTGGACCCATGAGATATGACCTGAACGCTGGGCAGCACCCCTCCTCCTCCTCCTCCTCCTCCTCCTCCTCCTCCTCCTCCTCCTCCTCCTCCTCCTCGAACGACCCCTCGAACGACCCCTCCTCCCATCACCTCCTCGTCACCCACATCGTGGCCGACGGGGGCCCCGAACGCTGGGCAGCACCCCTGTCCCGGGCCCCATCCGCCTCTCGTCCTTTCTCCTCCTTGGTTGGGGACCCTGACGTAGGCGGGCGAGCGCCGTCGCGATGATCCCTGCGAGGAACAAGCACAGGCAAAGACAGGAGCTCTGATTAGCAGTAGCACGATGGTTACGCGCAGCACAGACGTTGGCTGGCCACGGTAAGCCGTAATCACACAGAGGAAAGGTTGCACGTACACAGTAGTAAGTGTACAGTTGTAATAGTATGGGGTGCAGAGCACGCAGTAAATCCGAACGGTCAATGCGAAACGTAAGTACGGAACCGTAAGCATCAACCCTAAGTCGTATAACTAATAGCAGTAAGTAACAAGTTGCACGCGTGCCATGGCTCCTGCACAGAAAGAAAGAGGGAGGAGGCGGAGGGGGCGCCCTGGCTTGTGGATGGGGTGGTGGAGGGGGGCACTCGGGATGGGGGGGGGGTGCCGTGCCGAACTAAAGGGGTCGGGGCGGAGGGGGCGCGTTGGCTTGTGGATGGGGTGATGTAGAGGGGGCGCTTGGGATGGGGGTCGGGTCAGCGGTCTCATCTTGGACTGTCTTGCCTCTCCTCTCTCCCAGCGTCGCTCCTGCCGCATTGTCCTCTGGTGTGCATGCGTTTTTTCGAGCGGACCGTTTCAGACGTGGACGTCTGTCGAAAGCTCTTCTCCGCACCACGCGACACCCTCCATTCCGCCTGAGCATATTTTCCAGCCGCGCTGAACTGCAACCCCCCGCAGTCTCTTTGGTTCAACCACCATGTGGCTCGAGTGATCGCGGCTCCTCGGCGCACGCCTGCTTGCCTCCGCTGCAGACCGTCGGTGCCGTGCAGAAATAAAAAGGTCGGGGCGGAGTGGGCGCGCTGGCTGAGGGGTGGGGTGATGCGGAGGGGGCCCTTGGGATACGGGGGGGGCGGTGCCGTGCCGAAATAGAAGTGTCAGGGCGGAGGGGGCGCGCTGGCTGGTGGGTGGGAGGATGCGGACGGCCTACAGTAAAGGGTTGGGCGGGGCGGGGCCGTGCCGGAATCAAGGGGTCGGGGCGGAGGGGGCGCTCTGGCTGGTGGGTGGAGGATGCGGAGGGGGCGCGGGACGCGGGGTGGCTGTGTTGTGCCGATATATAAGGGCTGGGGCGGAGGGCGCGCTGGGACTGGCGGGTGCGGAGATGCAGAGGGGGTGCGCGGGATGGGAGGGGGGGCGGAGCCGTGCCGAAAAAGAGGGGTCGGGACGGAGGGGGCGCGCAGGTTGGTGGATGGGGTGATGCAGGGGGGGCGCGCGGGATGGGGGGGTGAACTAAAGGTGTCGGGGCGAAGGGGGCGGGCTGGCTGGTAGGTGGGGTGATGCGGAGGGGGCGCGCGGGATGGGAGAAGGGCGGGGACGTGCCGAAATGAAAGGGTCGAGGCGGAGAGGGCGGTGCCGTGTCGAAATAAACGGGTCGGGGCGGAGGTGGTGGCTGGCGGGTGGGGGGAATGCGGAGGGGGCGCGGGCCAGAGGGTGCGATGGCTGGTAGGTGGGAGGATGCGGAAAGCCTATAGTAAGGAGTCGGGGCGGGGCGGGGCCGTGCCGAAATAAAGGGCCCGGGGCGGAGGGGGCGCGCGCTGGCTGGTGGGTGGGAGGGTGCGGAAGAGGCGCGCGGGATGGGGGGCGGTGCCGTGCCGAAATAGAGGGGTCTGGGCGGAGGGGGCGCGCTGGCTGGCGGGTGAGGGGATGCGGAGGGAGCGCGCGGGATGGGAGGGGAGCGGTGCCGTGCCGAAATAATGGTGTCGGGGCGGAGGGGACGCTCTGGCTGGTGGTTGGGGTGATGCGGAGGGGGCGTGCGGGGTGGGAAAGGGCGGTGCCGTGCCGAAATAAAAAGAATCGGGGCGGAGGTGGCGCGCTGGCTGGTGGGCGGGGTGATGCGGAGGTGGTTCGCGGGATGGGGGGTGACGGTGCTGTGCCGAAATAAGAAAAGTCGGGGCGGAGGGGGCGTTCTGGCTGGTAGGTGGGAGGATGCGGAAGAGGCGCGCGGGATGGGGAGGGGGCGTGCCGAAATGAAGGCCTCGGGACGGAGGGGGCGCTCTGGCTGGTAAGTGGCGTGATGTAGAGGGGGGCGCTCGGGATGAGGTGCGGCGGTGCCGTGGGGGGGCGGTGCCGTGCCGAAATAAAAGGGTCGGGCCGGAGGGAGCGTGCTGGCTGATGGTCGGGGCGATGCGGAGGTGGAGCGCGAGGTGGGGGGGCGGTGCCGTGCCGAAATATAGTCTTCGGAGCTCTACACACCCTGTAAATATTAGTTTAAATGTTTGCCGTGGGCATCTGCTGTACATCATAATCGAAGATGGGCATGAGTGATTATGAACAGTTGGAATTGTTGGAATTAGTCTTTGACCTCGTTGCATGGCATGCGTTAAAGTATGCATTGTTGAGGCGGCTTACCACGTGAGCACAGTGCCCTGCGTTACGTTGTTGTTTGACGTCTTTGCGAGGTTTGCCTTCAAGCGTGCATGTTTGAGGTGACCACCCATGTCAGCAGAGTGGCTGGCGTTAGTGGTCGTTCGCCTGTTCGCGCCAGGCGGCGGGCTCCACGACAGAATGCATTTGCGAACGCAAGCCCTTCCATGTTTGCGTGGTCCTTCGGAGTACGGAAGGTTACAGTATTTCTGGCTGCGTTTGAACAAAGTGTCTTGCGTTGCGGGCCGTTCGGTCGTTCGCACCAGATGGCCGAGCTCCACAAAATAATGCATGCACAAACGCAACAACCTTTTGATTTCCCCATTAATGTACAATGTTAAACGTGCACCGAACACGCGAGCTGTAAGTACCGACTGTACGTATCAATTGTAACCAGCTCCCGTACACACCAACCTTAAACATGAACCGTAAATGCGAACTGCATACAGGAACCATAAGCACAATCCGCCTGCATGCACCGTAAATACGCACGGTCGACGGATACGCGAATGAACACAATGAGTGCGGATTGTATGTTTGCGTTGCGCCGTAAACATTTACCGTAAAGACCGGCCCTACATACACATTGCAAATTTGACGCGTCAGTAGAACATTCCGTTTTTAGCAAACATATTTAGCGCAATTTTTCCACACGCGTGCGAACCTGTAGTATAGACCGTTTACACAGGCGTTGAATAGTATCCAGAAGTGTTGCTGACAATGCCAAAGTACAACATGGATACCGAATGCATGTGCAGTATAATATAAAAGGCACACATTACCGAACTTACTAATTGCGTTATGAATTGCGAAGGAACAACGTACGTTCAGCAGTAGGTCGGCGTTGTAAGAATGTGACGTGCATATGTTAGCATGCGCGAGCTCCAAATTAACACAAGTGCCCTGGGCAATTCTTAATTGTTAATACCGGACGTACTAGCTATTAGCGAGTCTGTCTTGAGTGTAGAAGTTGTCTAGAGCTCCCGTAAGTGCTAGCTGCACTTGTTCACAGTGCGAAATGCCCATGCGTAGTCAACCGTGAATACCAGCTGTATTTCGCAACCGAGTCGTAAACATGCAGCTCTCGTACTAGTAGTGGACAAGGATTTGTAAAGACAGGCCGTCAATGCCAACGTCTACAACTTCATGAAACTATGAATCGCACCATTTCACCCATTGGAATATGTTGTACTTCCGCAGTGCGCATACGATGTGCCAGTGTGCACCATGAGTCGGCTTGTAAATGTGCATCGCCTAATTACCATTGTTTTTTGGAAGTGCGAATTGGCAATAAACACCGTACGCGCGAAATGTAGCAGTCAAAGTGGAATGCGCATTGCGCAGGTAAACGTTCCAAATCAATAGTCACCACGAAGAGCAATTATTGATTTTGAGTAGTTCAATGTAAGTGGTTGATGTACTCATTTGCGGTGGCTGTAACCGCACTAAATGGTCTTGGTAATCGTACATGCGCATTGGGGATTGAGTGTGAACGCGTTATGCAAATATCAAGTACAACTACAAATCCTAAGTTGCAGCCGTAAGCTGTGTCTGGACACGTGTGTGGTAACATTGCAGTTTAGCCACAAAGGGTCCATTCTGATTGTACACATTATGTGTACAAGTTGCGCGTAACACGTATTTGCAAATTCAGTGATTGGCCATTGACAGTGGAAATTCAGAGTACGACCAAACCGCAATTTACCAAAGGAGATATGCATCACAGTTGCCAATGTTCAATCGTATGAATCGTCTTCATCAACTGTATCACTTGCATCACATTGCAGAGCATATTACTACAGATCAACCTCCTTATCAATTTAAGTACGTAGTGTAAAAAAATGCAGGGGCGTGCGAACCGCACGTATGAATCACATTCTGAATTGCCATTTCTTCTATGTGTCAAGGGCCATCCGTATCTATTAGCAGTACATGGTGACCCTGACATTTTCAGTTGTACGTAACCCATTGGAAAACTGCTTGCCCATACGCCTTGGGAGTGCGACTTGTAAATGTTAGCACGGTGTGCTAGTTTCCAGTGTTAGTTGGCATTGCCAGCATACATGATTTGTTGTGTGGGCTATCTCTGTAATGTTTCACATGACGTATGAACAATGAGCATCCAGTGGAAATGCCGGCTGTAGGTACCAATTACACATGCGAACGGTACATCGCATACGTAAGTACCCTTTGTGTGAATGAACGGTACAATTCCGTTGGACATCTGTACAGTGTATTTTCATTTGGATGTGTTAGCGGCCTATATATAGACATATATATAGGCACAGCAGATAATAATTGAAGTTCTAGCTGTGATCGCGACCTGTAAATACGCATAGTAGGTACCAATTGTACACGTGATGTGTAGATATTCTCCGTAAGTGCGATTGGCCCGTAGTTTTGGTAGGCAGTAATCGTACATTTTGTTGTGAGCGTTCCGTGTTCATTATGTGGATATGTTTGAAGTGTTTGTTTCATGCCACATGTTCGATTATACATTCTGTAAGAGTGTATTTGGACTATTGTTTTTAGCAAGGAAGTGCGAACACAACACCTTACATCCAACCACCATATTGGCGGGCAGGGGAATCCACCTCCACGAAGTCACTCCCAAGCCAGAGGAATTTCCTCTTCCTCGTCGTTCTCCTTCTCTTTGTTTTCTCCGCCGAATTCGCCATGGGCCAGGAGCGGGACCCTGCGGGGGGCGCCGTGCAGTTTTGGCCGAGAGCGCGCCCTGCCGCCGCCCTTCCTCCTTCTGACAGCTGTCGAGATCACACCCGCAAGAGGTCCAGACCTCTCTGCCGCATCCGAGTGGTGAGAAGAAGTCTTGGTGAATGTATCGATTCATGGCTGGTTTTTTGGGTGCACAACTGTCCTGCCGCACCAAAGCCCAAGTCCCTGTTTACGAGGACCGATATTTTCTCCAGGCGTCGCAGGGTCAATTTCGATTCGATCGATCCGATGCGATATCGATTCTAGTTGGTTCGGTAAAATTTGATTTCGGTAGTCTGGCGATCCGAGGCGGCCCGGTCGCGAGCCGATTCAGTTTATCGACCCAGTGTTAACTGTTCCAGCCAACGGGGAAACTCTGGATTTCCGATTCGTGATCTTTTCAGGGGGGCCTCAAGGCGCCCCGGTACCAACCCGTGGTTTCCCCAGTTTTTCTTCCAAATTCTATTCACGTATTTTGGGACAGTTGGGGGTGTCAGGATGTCGCGGGGGTTTATTTTCGATACATGAGAACGCAAGGGCCAGGGACCACATTTGGAGTCGCTCGATTGTTGAATCCTGGCGTTCTTCCCCGATTTCGGCCGGGAGGTCTGGCCGCATGCGGATGATTTGCAGAAAGTGTTTATATGTCGCCATGTTTGGCCATTGCCACGATTCGGCGATGAGCGCAATTGGTGCACAGGTTCAAGAAAAAGCCCTTGCACTTTAGGTATTTCCATTTGCCCAGATCGTATTCCCGTTTGCCGCCGTGGCCGTTTGACGATCTGAGATTTTAGGTTCTTTGGCTTTAGGTCTGCGCACTTGTATGGTGCAAGTGGCTAAAGCAAGTCTGTCTTGGTTTCAACGGCGGCGCGCCCTGGGGCATCTTTGGCGCCGTTGCGGCGCGTCTATCTGCGCGCGGGGGGGCCGGGGGTAAGTGTAGCTGTGCGCCGTATTTTTTGAATGAGGTCTTGGAGAATTGCATCCCCCTGTCCTCCTTCTTCTCCCCCCCCCGTCCCTCCCCCTCCCCTTTGCCTTCCTCCTTATCTCGCTGCGTTTCCTGCTGCTGGCTTGTCGCCAGGGCCGCTCTTCGCCGCACATGTCATCGTCAGCACTGTGCAGCCACCTGGAAGCGACGTCCTATCAGGCCCCCACGACCGCAATGCCACTCCACGCTGTTTTTCATGACCACGCAAACTACGCGGGCAATAGGCCGCGGGTAGCTGCATCCAAGGTTACATTCTGCCTTCACCCCCTTCCGTCCGTCCCCCCCTTCCTCCTCCTTCCTCGCTCTCCTCCCTTTCGCCATCCTTCGTGGAAAGGCGGGGGGGCCCTGGTCCCACGCAGAAAGCCAAGGGGAGCGCCACAGAGGTTCGCGGCGGCAGCGGCGCAAGGCACGAGGCGGACTCGCTTGGTGCTTGTTACAGGCTGATGTTTTCGGGGGCGCGGTCCGAACCGACACGACAGGCCGCTCTCTCAGCCCATGGTTGGCCCACTTCTATCTCACTGTTGGCCCACTGCAGGCCCACCGCTGGCCCCCTTTTCGCGCATGTCTGGCCAGTCCCTGGCCCACTTTCGGCCCACTGCTGGCACACTCCCGGCCCAAGCTCCGCCCGCGCGTGCCAGGTCTTCAGCCGCCGCGCCCCCGAGGCCCGACGGGAATGCGACGAGTACGACCGGGAAAACCGCCGCGGCGGCGGCATTCACGACCAACAGAAAAACGTGTCAGAAAACCTAGGCCGACCGGGCATGGGAAGCCGTCGGCCAGGCTCATGAACACGCAGGGCGAAGAGTCGACGAAGGTTTGTCGGAGCATCTCAGCCAATGTGTTTTGTCAATTTTCGGCCGTATGTTAGCTCACTAGCCTCCTTCTAGCGCCTTTTAGCCCATGTTTAGACCAGATTTAGCCCGATCGTTGGCAGTCTGGCTGGAGACATCGCGAGCGCGAGGCACGAGGGCGAGGAAGAGAAGCGCGGGGAGCAGGGGGGAAAGGGGGAAGGGGAGGAGGAGGAGGAGGAGGAGGAGGAGGAGGAGGAGGAGGAGGAGGAGGAGGAGGAGGAGGAGGAGGAGGAGGAGGGAGGAGAAGGAGGAGGAAGAGGGAGAATGAGGGGGAATGAGGACGAGGATTTGGGGCAAGCTCATGTTGATGGAAAAGGGGGCGGAAGAGGTAGAGGACGGAGGAGCATGACGAAAGGGAGGGGCGCGAGGAGGCGAGAGGAGAAGAGCCGCTGTGGGAAGGAGGAATATGAGGCGAGAGGAGAGGCGTTGAGGGAAGGAGGGATAGGATGGATAGGAGGCGCTCAGGGGAGGAGGGATAGGAGGCGAGCCGAGGCATGGAGCCTTGCGGTCGCGCTGAGGGGGATTGGAGGCGGGGGGGAGTGAGGGGACGGGAGGATAGAGGAAGTAGCACTCGCGGACGGCAGATCGAAGCTCAAACGTTGCCCCGAGAAGGCGCAGAAACTGCGGATGCGGGGCGGGGTCACTGGACAGGGGGGGGCGGGGAAACATCGCGGAGAGGGATGGATACGAAGGGGAGGCGTGAACATTGCACGCGACAAGTCGTGGCAATCTACACGGTTGCAGCTGGGTGTGCGCATTGTTTGCGAAAGACGCGATTGTTCCTGGGCCCGGGCGGGAGAGCGTGGCGCACTTCTAGGAGTGAGCGTGGCAGCACGATGCAGACTTGGCCTTTTCGAAGTCACGTTTCGGATGGTTGGCGACATTCTTCTTCGCCGGGGGGGCGGCGGTTTTGGGCATGGCCACGCGGCACTTCCGGTGGACACGCCAAGCCATCGTCTATTTAGTGATGTCTGTCCTCCCCCCCTGAGTTTTCACAGCCACTGGGTTGTGCGAGGGGGATAGCCCTTTTAACGAGGCGTAGGGACTCTTAGAAGGCCTTCCGGGCCCATGCTTCCTGCCAGAAAAAAAGCCCAGCAGTTCTTGAGAGCGTCCTGGAAGCCGCCGGGCCCTGTTCGGAGAAGGCCTTTTTCCGCTTCAGAACCCCCCACCTCCTCCTTCTCCTCCTCCTCCTCCTCCTCCTTCTCCTCCTCCTCCTCCTCCCCCTCCTCCCTCCTCCTCCCCCTCCCCTCCTCCTCCCTCCTCCTCCTCCTCCTCCTCCTCCTCCCCCTCCTCCTCCCCCTCCTCCTCCTCCCCCTCCTCCTCCTCCTCCTTCTCAGAAGGCCGCTTCCGCCGCGCCACCCCCGTGCGTACGTCGCAAGCCCGTCAGCCGATGCCGTTGCCGCCGATGGGTTCGGGAGGGAACGCGTCGACACTTCATCGTCCACTGGTCGCCGACACGGGGCCCGATACGTACCCCACCCGTCCAGGAACGTGCGGTTTTGCAATCGTGGGCATGTCGCCGATCTATCCGTCGGCGAGGTATCGCCGATTCCAGTTCGATGCTCCCTCCCTCTGAGCCAGTCCACCCCCGTTCCCACTCGATCGTCGGGGCGCCTGGGGGTTAGAAGCCGGCCCCTTGACCTTTCCTGGGTTGCGTTTTGATCAGCTGCCACGGCGGATCCAGCCGCGGCGACGAGGAAGCCTAGCCAAGCCCCAAAAGTCAAGACATCGTGCATCCTTTGACCTGGATCTACGCCATTCCCCCCCCCCCCAAGCTCTTCCCCATACACTATTTCCCCTCCTAAGCCATTCCCCGTAAACCGGGATCGAAGGCTCGACTCCCTCCCCCCCTAAGCCATTTCCCCCCCCCCGTCGGTTCCCCGCGGCGCCCCACCGCACCAACAGGGGGAAGCCGGCCCGCCCGCCGCTGCAGGCAGTCGCAGGTCATCCAGTTCGCGGCTGTGGACCTGCGGACCGGCGAACGCGCGGGGCTCGGGCATTTTCGCGAGGGCGACGCCCTCCACGACGACGCCCACGGCTTTGGCGGCGGCGGCGACATCGACGACGTCGATCGACGACGGCGATGATGACGACGTTAACGACGACCACGACGTCGATGCTCACGACCAAGAGTGCGGCCACGACAACCACCACGACGACCACGAAAAAGACTGCGACTACAACGGCCACGACAGCAGCCGCGACGACGTCGACGACGACGATGACCACGCCGACCACAACGACCACGGCGACCACGACGACCACGACGACCACGACGACGACGACCACACAAATTCACTCAGAATCGGTCCCCAGAACCTCTCTGGGTCATCCTGGCCAGTTGTTCGAGTTTCGCCCAGCCGTGGCGACGAAAGCCCCTGGAAAACGTTCAAATACCTCCGCGCCTTTCTCGACCGCGACGGCGACGGCGGCGGCGAAAGCGGAGGCGGCGTGCGATCGGGCGCCGCGCGGGCACCGCGCAGAGCGTGTCGCCGCATGGTTGGGGGAGGTTGTCGGCCGAGTTGGGGTTGTGTTCGGTGGATTTGGCGGAGTCGTGGGGGGTCGACTCGGGGGGCGTTTCATTCAGTCTTTCTTGGTCGCATGTGAGGGACCCACAGGGCCATCACGAGGGGCCTCGCGTAAACATTTCGGGGATAGCTTGAGCCCTCGTGGGAGCTTCCTGCCAGAGGGTCGGCGGTATTCACGGATGCTGATGCTGTGCCGCGAGGTGAGCGACGACGCATTTTGGACGTAATACGTACATGTGGGTCAAGCCCTTTCCAGCTAAGTCAGGTCCAGTTCACTCCTCTCCGCTCTCGACTCTCTCCACTTCCTGTCCGTTCCGCGTCCTCCCTTTCGTTGTCGTCGTAAGGGGCAGTTCGAGTTCGGAAGCGGCTCGCTAATCCCTCGGTCCTCCCACAGTCGTTCCTCCAGCGTCCCTCGTGCACCATAGTTCTTGTGGGCCCAAAAACGTGCTTCGTCAGTCAGATTGGATCATACGGATAGGGAGCTTCATCCTTGCATTGTCGGCCAATCCTCAGCCATTATAACTGCCCATTCTCGCTGAGAGGACTCAAACTTGCGCGTCCAAGATCTTAGCATCCATATAGCGCGTTCCTACTCTCCTGTCGCGCTGTATCCAGCGACCCTGCTGAAACCAAAAAGTACCAATACCGCTACTCCCGGGACCTCTCCTGGGATTCTTTCCGACCAGAATTTAGAGGAGAATCCAGCCGTGGCGACGATGGAATGGTACGGGTATCGGCACCCTTTCTTCCCCTGATTCGAGTGCCAGCTCAGTGTGCCTCTCTTCCGTGGCCGTCTTGGCACGAGCTGGCCCGCCTGTCTTGCCGGAGCCCGCGCTTTTGATTTGCCGGCCTTGAGGGCCTCCTCGCCCCTTCCCTGCAGGGCCCGCCAGGCCCGCCCACCAGCAGGGATGCGGCGCCCGCTCCGCGGGCGAGCTGCGCGGGCGCGGTGGTGGGCCGCGGCCGCCGTCGCCGCTGCCGCGCCGGGGCCCGCTTGGTCTTGGTGTCGGGCCGCGTGCTTGGATCGGCCGCACGTGCGGAGTGACCCTTCGCCAGAGGGGCCTTCGGGTGTGTGCCCGTCGGGGCGCCCCCGGCGCATTGGCTAGCCCCGCTGACGCCGCACACCAAAAGGCTCTTCTTGCCCAGGGACTCTTCCTGCGTGTGGCCGAGTGGAGGCAGAAAGAGACGGCGTGAGCGCACGTTTCCCCGGGCCCCGCGCGGACTTCTCGGGTCGGGTGCCTGACTGTTCCCTGGCGGCGCCCCCCTGGCGGCGCCGCGGGCGCCGACCCGAGAGATCCGCTCAGACCCTCGAGTGTTGGTGCCCGAGCACGGGGGGCAACGAACGGGGGGGGGAGACAGGCACATGGGGGGACGCATCGGCCCCCCATCGCCCATCGCCGATGGGGGTCTGATAGCCCCACCCGCCCAGGCAGGTGCGGCTTCGCTATCGGGGGCCTGTCGCCAATCTGTCGGCGATGCATCGCCGAGGCCAAGTCGATGCATCCCCCTCTGATTATGCCAGTCCCCCCCTGCAGTCGGACCGAGATCTAAGGTAGATTCGGGCAGGGAAATCTGATGCTCTTCGTGTTTGTGCGATTTTCTTGTGCGTCCTGGGGGGTGCTACCCTCAAATGGTCTTCCTTTTGGCCGGCGGATGGTCTCATGTCCATGACAGATGCTCTTCTGGCCTGGATCCGATTGCATCGTTTCCCCAAACATCGGAGGGAGGAGAAGCGACACCTACAGCACCAGGGGGCCCACCTCCAGCGAGGAGTTTGGGGGCCCACCTCCAGGGGGCCCACCTCCAGGCGAACGAGAGCTGGATGTCTCGAGCGAGAAGGGGGACCGCACCACCAGGGAGAGCCCCCTTGCCTCCTCGCAGCTCCTCGCCCTGGTGGTGTTGGTGCCGCCTTTCCTTGCTCCTGCTCACGGCAGCTCGGGGGGCGATCTGACCCCTGAGCCGCCCGGTCCACACCTATTTCCCTTCGGCCGCGTCCTCTTCGCTCTGACGGCATCCCCGCTTGAGCCCCTCATCGCCAGCGCAGTCACCCTCTCTGCCTCGCCGCCGACGCCACAGACAGTTCCTGCCCACGGCAGCTCCTTCTCCCTCCCCGTGCAGCCGGGCCCCTCCGTCGGGCGGCACGGGCGCGCCGCGCAGCCCGGGGGCGCTCTGCCCGCGCGGGCCGCCCGCCGCGCCCGCGGGGCCGCCGCCCGCCGCGGCGTCGCCCGGCGGCCGCGGGCGGCCCCGGCGCGCGGGGCGGCCACGGGCCGCCCGCGGGCCCGCCGTGCCGCAGCGCGGCGCGGGGGCGGCGGGTTCGCTCGGGGTCGGCGTCGCCGCGCTCGGTGCCCAGGATGGGCGGCGAGGGAGCGGGGGGGAGGGGGGGAGGCGAGGTGCAGCGGGGGCCCATGGCCCATGGCAGGAAGCCCCCTGCTTGCCTGCAGGGTGCCCTGGGCTTCTCGGGTGTCGATGGTCTTGCGATGGGAAGCGTGATGCCCCCACAGCAAAGGCAATGGACGTCCTGGGGTCTCAGGGTTGCGTTTCTTGTGGAAGGTTTCTTGTGGTCGGGCCCCCAGTCAACCCGTATCAGAAGGATGCGCGGTAAGGATACAAGGACCCTTGGGGGCCCATGTGAACGTTTTTTTCGAGCGAGGCTGGCCAGCGAAAGTAGCTAAGGATGGGCCGGAGGGGCAAGGATGCAAGGGCGCCATTGGGAAGATTGCCCATCCTTGCTACGCGGGTTGACTGTGTCCTTCCCTCGTCGCCACGGCTGGATTCTCTTCGAAATGCTGGTTGGAACCAATCCCGGGAAAGGTCCCAGAAGTAGCGTTGTCGGTATTTCTTGGTTTTCCACCGCAGGGTCGTGGGATACAGCGTGACAGGGGAGTAGGGACGCGCTGTAATGATGCTGGGACCTTGGACGCGCAAGTTTACCCCCTCTCAGCGAGAATGGCCAGCTATAGTGGCTGAGGATTGGCCGACGATGCAATGATGAGCGAGTGCCCTTGGGAAGCTTCCCACCCGTTTGATCCAATCTGACTGACGAAGCTCTTTTTGGGCCCACAAGAAACATAGTGCACGAGGGGCGCTGGAGGAGCGACTGTGGCAGGACCGAAGGAACAGCGAGTCCCTTCCGAACTCGAACTGGCCATTACGACGACAACGAGAGGGAGGACGCGGAACGGGCAGGAGGAGGAGAAAGGCGAGAACGGAGATGAGTTGGACCTGACTTTCGGCGGCTAGCGAGGGGGACATGAGAAGGAGAAGGCCTTCTCAGAATGCAGCGGGGCTTCTCAGAAGCCCTCACTCCTCCTGAGAGGTTTTTGCGTCTTCGGGGAAGGCTCAGAAAATATCTCGGAAGGCCCGGGGGCTTCTAAGCCTCCGCCCCTTCTCGCTTCCCCCCTGGCTCGCCGCCGACAGGAGATCGCCTCGCTTGGCGCGACCGTATCGGGGGGCGTCAGCTGACCACCTCGCCGATCCTCGCTCGATGGGAAATCTGCGCACTGTGTCGCAAGCGCTCTCCTGGAGTTCTGCGCCTGGGGGCCGTTTTCTCGGGATGGATCCCGGACGAAGCACTGCCACCAGGGCGGAGGGAGGTCTGCGCCCGCGGCTGAGACAAAACATATCGGAGGATTGATTCCTGGGACTGGCCACCCAGGGCTCAAAGTAAACGGTGTTCTGGCGACTTCGTGGGCCGTTTTCGTTTTGTTTCCGTTTTGCAGCAGAGGCGGAGCGGGGACGCCGCGAGGGAAAACAAAGACAGCACGAAGACGCCAAAGCACCCGTTCGCTCGAGCTCTGTGGCCATCTCACCGATCTTGGGCGGGCCCATCCTGGGCCATGATCGGTGTACGTGACCTCAGCGAGGCGGGGATGTATCCTTCGCCGCCGCCTGGGGATCGATCTGCGAGGACCTCGGCAGGCGGTGGACATGGATGTGGATATGTCTGGGCCCCCTGGGGCCAACACAACCCCAGGCTGTGGATGTGTATGAAAATCCCAACCAGGAAGGCGAGGCTCCGATCCTAGGCTCAGGATGGGCGGGGCCTGGCTGTGGTGTGGTGGACTGTTGACGTCCCCCGAGCCGTCGGCGTGGGAGCGGGCAGCATGGCGCTGGAGCGAGGCACCCGAGCTGGCGCAGCGGTGGGCGGCGCCCTGCTGGCCTTCGGCGCCCGCGCCGCGCTCGCCGCTGCGTTCCCGCTGCTCGCGGGCGACGCCGGTGGCGTCGACGGCAGGCTCGTGGACGCGCTGCTTCCGGTGGCGCTGGCCCTGACGGTGATCAGCGGCACCGTAATGGGTACGGACCAACGGGTAGTTTGGGAAGTTGCCGAAAGTTGCAATTTTAGGGCCTCTGTCTGGCACTGCAGCGTTGCCGTTACATCGGGGAGGGTTGGGCCGCCTTGTCTTTGGCCAAAGTACCCGTCAGTGGAGTCCCCGTTGGGGGGCGCTGAGGTGATTGCCGCCCAGGCGGAGCCCACCAGTCGAGTAGCAAACAATTGCATCCACATCACTTCTCTTTCGGAACTCCGCGCGAGTCTCGTGGGGATCGGCGCCGGGGCCCTCCTGGCGGCGCCTGCGGCGCCGCCCCTGAAGCGCTCTGCGAGCCAGTGAGGTGGTCCAGCGCCCATCCACGAAGCCCGCGTGGAGCTCCAACAGTTCTCGGAGGCGTAGAGGTTGACACCAACACCAATATCGGCGGTGTGCCTCCACCGATGGAAGATGCTCCCGATATCGGTGATGGTGGGAACATTCGGGCTTCCTCGGTGGCCGAAATATGACCACCAACACCAGAATTCAGAATCATCTTCCCCTGGTGGAGGCAGTCCTTTGCGTTGGTGTTGCTGCACAGTGAAGGCCTCCAAAGTTACTCCGAGTTAATTCTTTACGCTTCGCGTATCCCCACCAGCCCATCTCAAAACAGCCACTCTTGCGAAGCATGCCGACAGTCGTGTTTTTCAGGCGTGTTTCCGCCTGCCCCCGCATATCTCCCGTGTTCCTCCTTCCTCCCGCCTCCTTGTACATCCTCCTTGTGGTGGGAGCGGGAAAAGGACGAGGCGGAGGAGGAGGGAGAGAAAGCGCTCCTCGTGGTTTGAGTCGTTTGGGGTTTCTCGTCCTGGTGTGAGTCGTTCGGGCCCTTCTTCCTGGTGTGAGTCGTTCGGGCTCTTCGTGGTGTGAGTCGTTCGGGCTCTTCGTCCTGGTGTGAGTCGTTCGGGCTTCTCGTGGTGTGAGTTGTTCGGGCCCCTCGTCCTGGTGTGAGTCGTTCGGGCCCCTCCTCCTGGTGTGACTCGTTCGGGCTCCTCGTGGTGTGAGTCGTTCGGGGCCCGCGTCGTGGTGTGAGTCGTTCGGGCTCCTCGTGGTGTGAGTCGTTCGGGCGCCTCGTCCTGGTGTGAGTCGTTCGGGCCCCTCCTTCTGGTGTGAGTCGTTCGGGCTCTTCGTGGTGTGAGTCGTTCGGGCCCCTCGTCCTGGTGTGAGTCGTTCGGGCTCCTCGTGGGGCCTCTTGGGGGCCTCTTGGAGCCTCTTGGGGCCTCTTGGGGGCCTCTTGGGGGCCTCTTGGGGCCTCTTGGGGGCCTCTTGGGGCCTCTTGGGGCCTCTTGGGGGCCTCTTGGGGGCCTCTTGGGGGCCTCTTGGGGGCCTCTTGGGGGCCTCTTGGGGCCTCTTGGGGCCTCTTGGGTGCCTCTTGGGGGCCTCTTGGGGGCCTCTGAGGGGCTCTTGGGGGCCTCTTGGGGGCCTCTTCGAGGCCTCTTGGGAGCCTCCTGGGGGCCTCTTGGGGCCATCTTGGGGCCTCTTGCGACCTCCTCAGAAGTGCAAATGAGCGCTGCTCCCTGAGAAGGGCAAAATGAGCCCAAAACCTGCGTAAAATCAATGATTTTGCTATGAAGGAAGAGGAGCGCTGCCCCCTCAGAAGGCCAAAATGGGGCCGAAACCGTAGTAAAATCAATGATTCTGGCTTCAAAGAAGAGGAGAGGGTTTTTTCTGGGTCCCCCCGTCGGGGCCAGAATCCTCGTGAGGGGTGTCGTTTTTTAGCCCTCCTAGGAGTCGAAATTGACCCCCCTGACGACCCGCCGGACCCCCTCTCCAGGCCCAGGGGGAGGGGGTAAGGGGAGGGGTAAACCCCTCCCCGAAGGGGAAGAGGGGGGGTTGAGGACAGAGAGAGCTCCCTAAACCACTCACGCCCAAAGGGCTGGTGGGATTCATAAGCGTCGGGGGGGCGTCACCCCCGCCGACAGCCCCACATCGACCCCCCGTCGCGGGCAGCCACCGCGCGCTGAAGGCGCTCCGACCCCCGTCGCAGCGCGACAGCGAGGCGAGGTTGCCGCCCGTCGAGGAGGCACCCCCACACGCCTTGAAAGAAATCCAGAGCATGTTTGTGCTGTTGTTTGCTGCTCGAGCCACAGCTGCGCGGCGAGCCGTCCCAGCAGCGCTGACCCGTCGGCGCTCGCGCGGGTGCTGCTGGCCTTCGCGCTCGGCGCGCTGGGGTCCCTGCTGGGCGCCGCGTGCTCCTTTGCCGCCGCGGGGCCACTGGGTATCGGGGCCGACGAGGCGGCGCGGGCCGCGGGGTGCATCGCCGCGACCTACGTGGGCGGCTCCGTGAACTTCGTGGCCGCGGCGCGCGCGGTGCGCCTGCGGGCGGAGTCCTTCGGGGCGCTGGTGGCCGCCGACATGCGGGGCGACGCCACCTGTCGGGGAAACGTGACACTCGAGCAAGCCAGAACACGAATTTGCCGACATGTTTTGACGAGCGCGTCCTAGATTTTGACAGTCCGATTTTCGTGGGATGTTCGCAGCGGGAGATCGCGTCAAGTTTCAGATTGGGCCTCGTCATTTTCATGATGGCCCCGTCAAGCCATTTCGAGTCTCCCTTGCACGAGTCTTACGTCCCCCTTGCACGAGTCTTACGTCTTACGTCTCCCCGATCCGGGCCGGGCGCAGCTGTCAGAGGAGGACCAGTTGAGGCCATTGGTTAGCTTGCCTCACCGGGGGCCTCGTAACCACGGCTGAGCGCACCTCGGAGCATTGGTGCGTTGGAAGCCTGGGTGGGGTTCGGGGACCGAAATCGAGTTGCTGTTATCTCAACTCGCCCTGCTGCGAATGTTGGGCGCAGGAGATCGGTGTACGGTAAGTTCGTGTCTTGTCGATTCGGTGACGGCCCCAGCGAGTGTGTTCACGGTTGAGCGCCGCCGATGTTTCAGAATCGGCCAATCTGGAACGATTTGGAGATCGAAGCGCCGCCGAACGTTGAATGTTGAACGATTCACGCGGTGGCTTGGCCGGGAGGGTCTAGTCTAAGCGCACCGATTTTGGGGCCGAGGGCGCTGCCAGAGGCCGCCGTGGCTTACTCGGGGGGCCTGCCTAGACTACCTACAGGGGGTTGTCTGTGCGCACCCCGAAGCTTTACCGGCACGCGATCGAACAGCGAACAAAGCAATTCGTGGGAGGTCTGGGGCTGGGTCTTGGTCGAAAGCCGTCCAAATCTGGTTTAGTCCCGCTTATTCCAGTCTAGTCCCGCTTACCCAGACATGATAGCGCCGTAAAAAAAAGACGACGGGCATTTGTTTCCTTATTTCCAGCTTTTTGGGAGGCTTCGCCGGGCTCTGGGACCGTCAGAAGACGTTGCCAGGATGACAAACTAGTCCCAGGGAAAGGGTCGGGACGTCTGGGGGGCCCTTACTAGAAACTACCAGGACGTCGCATGTGTGGGGAATCCTGCTCAACCCCTGACTTGGATCTGGCGTACTGGCCTCTGAATGTGATCTAGTAGCCTGCAATCCCTTTTGTTCGAAGAACTCCCAGAAGTGATTCCTCCTCAGAGTTGGCGGGGCGGGGCCCATGGGACAACAAAATACCGTCCGAGGTACGGTCGGAACGCTCTCAGAGCCTTCCGGAGCGCTCAGGAACGGCCGCGTCGCCCGACACATTATCCAGAACCGCGGGATCTCAGACATCCCCGATGCTGTTTTCCGAGTCTGGCCTCGTCTTACCTGGGGCTGGCGTCGCCCGACTTCTGCCTCATGGGCCTCTACTTCGCAGGGCTCGCCGCGGCGGCCCGCAGCGCGCGCCTCCGCCGGCTGCTGCCCGAGCCCGCCGAGCGCGCGGCCGCCCTCGGCGCCGCGGCGGGCGCAGCCTCGGCTGCGCCGCGGCGCGCCGGCCTCGCCCGCGCGGCGCTGCTGTCGCCTCTGGCCGCCTGGGGCGCGCTCCGGGCGAGTGCCCCGCTGGCCGGTCTTCGGAGGAGAACGGGATGCCAGGCATGCCCGCGTCGTAGACCAGAGTCAGGGCGGGAGGTTTCTGCCCACAAGGGGGGCCTCTGCGGGGCCCCTGCTGGCTCCCGGGGCAGGAGGAAGAGCCGGTCCTGCCTCCGCGGAGGCCCTCGCCGCGAGGATGCGGGACGCACCCCGTGACAGGTCGAGGGAGCAGCGGGGTCCACATCTCTGGGTTTCCCCAGGTCTTCTCGGCGGCTCGGCCGGGGCCAGCACCGCTGCCGTCACGGCTTGCTCTTGGCTCGCCGGCTGGCTGACGCGGCGGTGTGCCGGTGGTTCGGCGGGCGCCGTCGCCGTTTTGTGCCGGTGGAGCGGCTGCTTGCTGATGCTGGTGTTCTTCGCGTCGATCGGGGCGCAGGCCCTCGGAGGAGAACAACAATAATCGAATAAGGACAAAACGCCACAAGCACAAGCTGGCGCCCCGCGTGGATTCCTTGGATCCGCGCTGGGACCCCCCGCTAGCGCCGCCGATGCCGCCCCTGGCGCGCTCCGCGCGCCAGGGAGCGGCGTCGGCGCAAATCCAAGAAATCCGCGCGGAGCATGCGCATGGTTTTGCCGGTCCCGATCCGTCCATCAGCATCGTCGAACCAATCCTCAGTGGGCTGTGGTAATTCAGCCCCACCAGCCACCCCCCCAGGTGGGGATAACTCCCGCGAGACACGAAGGGGATCTCATATCCCAATCAAGGGTGGGTAAGTCGGCCAGTGGGGCCCAGCCCACGACAGTGGAGATGGGGATCGGCTGGACGGTGCTCATTTCTAGGCTCGGATCCCCGAGCTGCTCACGTCCAGCGCCTCGTGGGTCGGCTTCGCCGCCGTGTGCCTCCTGGCTCACGCCGTGGCGCTGCTGAGCGGGGCCGTGGCCGCGAACGCGCTGCTGCGCCGCGCGCCGCGGCTGGCCCCGGTCGCTGGGTCGGTCAGCCTGGACGAGGTGCTGGTGGCGTCGAACGCGAACGTCGGCGGCGCCGCGACCGCCGCGGCCTTCGCTGGCGCTCGGAGGAGGAGAACGTACCGCTACCGCTACCCTTGCCTCTGCTGGGAGGCCTTTGTCGCCACAGCTGGATTCGCTTCGACGTCCGGGGTCAGAGCGCATCCCGGGAGAGGTTTGGGGAATGGCGGCGCTGCCGGTATTTTTCGGTTCCCTCAGGCGCGACGCTGGGCAGACCAGACCTAGTGCTGCCCGCCACTTGCAGCGGCATCCTGGGGTATGCCGAAGAGGAAGAAAACGGCACACGGGCACAGATTTCGGGAGCCCTGCGAGGATGGCTTGGATCGGTGCATGGGCCTCCCTGGCGGCGCCTCTGGCGCCGCCCCAGGCGCGCTCTGGGCCCAGTGAGGAGGGTTCACCGCCGACCCACGATATCCGCGCGGACTTTCGACAATTTATGCTCATGCCCCGTGCTTCTTCTTCTTCTCAACATGGAGCGGGTACTGCCGCCGGAGTCGGCCTTTCCAGCCTGCTGGGGGCTGGCCCGGGCTAAGAGCGAGGCGGTCGCAGAGACTCGATCCAAGGCTCACTGGCTCATCTTCGTCCTCTTCGCTGTCTTCTGCCCGCGCGCGTTACCAATTGTTTTGCACATGTTCCAGTTTCGAGCGCTGCTCATGTCAATGCCACCTGCCTCGATGTGTCCCCTTGTGCGGTTTGGGTTATATATAGAGTCCTTGTCGAAATTCGAGTATGGCGGGTCGGATGCGGGTCTGGAAGCGTGATCAAGTGTAGTCGAGAAGGGTGTACTTACGAGGGGAAGGCAGCAACATAAGCGATCGCGCCGTTGTATTACTTTCGGCCGTATTGCGCCGCGACGTGGAAGGCATCATCGTTGTCACCACCGGCAGCATGTGTATGGTGGCATGTTATCCCCGCGCGCCTGGGGCCCGTCTGTGCAATCTAGCGGGCCTCAGAGTCGTCTGCAGTCTTGGACAGAGGCCAGTGCATTGTGCATGCAGTTGCTGGTTTGCTTGAGTCAGGCTGCTGCTTGGCGCTTCCCTCAGTTGCGATCACTCTGCTCTGCACGAGTCTGATCGGCAAACAGGGACATGGTCGGCCAGTTCACCCGCTTGAGCAAGGTCGTTGCTGTAGTCGTCCGGTGTTTTGCCAGTGAGCCGCAACCTTGGGGCGCCGAGCGTCCGAGGGGCGCCAACGGAGGCGGGCCTAGGGTATTGAGACCGCCCCGGAGCACTTGGGCGCCTCTCGAGGCCAGCCGGGACTACCTGGGGGGGGGGGCTGACTGTGCGCAACCCGAGGCCTTACAGTCTGTGCCCGCAGCCTGGCTCTTGGCGAGCCCCGCGCGCATCCGCAGCACCAGCATGCTGTCTGGCGAGCTCTGGGGCCGCCTGCGGGACCTGCTGGACACCGCCGAGGACGACGGCGCGCTGCCGTTCAGCCTCGACGCCCACGCCGTGAAGTCAGGGTCCACGCGCGGCCTCTGCGAGGCGTCGCCGTGATGAGTCGGGGCAACGTGAGGGGGGATGTGCTCGAGGTTCGAGTGTATCCTGGCTGCTTTCCAGCCTCTGGGTGCGTTTCAGCAGCTGCGCCTCGCCGAGATTGTTCTGGGCGTGCCCGGATCGTCCCGAACGGCCGCCGGAGAGCCGAGTTATGATAGCCCGAAAACCAACAGGTAATGATACGGGGGGGATCATCTCAGGGGGAGGCGCATCGACTCCAAATCGCCGATTCCAGATCGATGTTTCCCCCGAAAGCTGTTCCCACAAGGAAGTAAACGTGTCCCGAGGGCAACGGGTCCTAGTTTTCCTGAGATTTTCCTGAGGACCAGCTCTTCCCCGTGAGCCGTGGGCCCGTGGAGGGGGCCCCAGGACACCAGAAGCGGGGAAGCCACTTCCAGGACCCCTCTTTCTCCAGGGCCCGCCTCGTTCGTGCCAAGAGGTGGGCGAGCAGGTCCTGCGGAGGGCGGTGGCCGAGCAGGTGGAGCGCAGCGGCGCCCGCCTCCTCTCGAGGCGCCGCGCGGGGGCCGGCGGCGCGGCGCGGCTGCCGCTGGACGACCACGCCCTCGGGCGCTTGTTCGACGCGCTTGGGCTGGACGGGCACCTGCGGAAGCACCCGCGGCCGCTGGAGGCCTGGGCCAAGGCTCAGCATCGCCTAACCTGTCCCCGTCCCAAGTGGGCCATGGCATCACTCCACGAACTCCGAAGGAACAACCACATAGTTATGATATCGGCTCCGGGCCCACGCCCCCCGCTCCCCGCCAGATGGGATGGGTCCGAGGGTCCCTCGGGCATCCCGTTCCCAGATGTGATGGCCGGACGACGCCGACGACGACGACGACGACGTGACAGGGGGGGTCCAGACCCTGGATCAGGCGTGCCCACCTGGGAGGGTAAGTCGACCAGTGGGGCCAGAGCCACGCCAGTGGAGATAGTCGGGCGGGGCCAGGACAAGGATACATCGGTTCCAGACCGTTCTGGAACGGTCTCAGAGCGTTCTGGAGCGCTCTGCCATGGCCGCGTCGCCGGGAATGCCCTCTGGAGCCGCCGTATCTCAGAGATACCCGATGTGTCCCTGTCCGCTCTTCTCCCTGCCCTGGCCTCGTCTCACATAGGGGTCCGTCAACGGTGCTCCAGGCGGAGGTGGTCCGTGCGCTGGCCGGCGAGGCGCACCGCGCCTGCGAGCTGGAGGCCAGCGCCCACGCGCGCGGCGGGCGGGGCTGGCGCTGCGGGGCCTCGCTGGTGGGTCGGGGATCGAAAAAGTGTTGGCGCGCCGCGCATCCCCGCCAGCCCATTCAGGAGCCCTGCCCACGTGAGCCGACGGGAAATGGAAAGCAGAGACGCACATGGTGAAACAGAGCGGTCGAAGAGAGGAGGGGGAGGAATGTGTTGAGGCATGTTGGAAGCTATCTTGGAGCATCGCAGGCCTTCTTGGAGCTATGCCTTTGGGGGGCGTCTTGGGGTCATCTTGGGGCTTCTTCGGGGCATCGTGGGGCCCTCTTGGGGCTCTTTGGGGGGTCTTGGGGCCCTCTTGTGGCCCCTCTTGGGGCACTCTTGGGGCTGGCTTGGGGCTCTCCTGGGAGCTTCGGAGGGCCTCTTGGGGCTGTCGTGGAGGGTGTCGGTGGAAAGAGGGGGGTCCTAACGTTTGGTCCCCCCTCTGGCGCCATCAAAAAAGCCTCTTGGGGCGCTCTTGGGGCCCTCTTGGGGCGATCTTGGGCGCTCTTGGGGCTATATTGGGGGCGTCTTCGGCCCTTCTTGGAGCCATCTTGGGGCCATCTTGAGGCTTCAAAAGCGCATCGGAAGCGAAAAGGCGACAAGGCCAACATCATTGGTTGTCACCAGGTGTTTGGAGGATTTTGGCTTGTCGGTTAGGTCTAGAGGGGTCTCCACAATATCTTGGATCCGTCTTGTGGCCTTCTTGGGGCCTCTTGGAGGCATGCTGTTAACTATCTTGAGCCTTGAGCAATTTTGGAGGCCATCTTGAGCTCTCTGGGGCCTTCTTGAGGCATTTTGGGCAATCTTGGACGCCCTGGCCGCTCGCGCTCCGCCCAACCCCGTCCAGGTCCAGGGGAGAGGGTAAGGGGGAGGGATCAAGCCACCCACCCGCCCGCAAGCCGTCTAGCTCACTCCCACCCGCCCTCCCTACACATAGTAACACCCGAGCCTGAGCATGTTCAGCGGTCGTCTTTGGATGGACAGCTATTGGGAACCAGAGCCGACCCCAGGTGGGCGACGCTTGGGCGAGGTGTGCCACGCAGCGCGCCAGGTACGCCACGCCACGCAGCGCGCCAGGTGTGCCACGCAGCGCGCCACGCAGCGCGCCACGCAGCGCGCCCCTGGGGCCCGAGCGTGCCAGGCACGCCTGGTGCGCCAGATACGCCACGTGCTCTGAGTGCGCCAGGTGTGCCGCACACTCCAGCCGCGTCAGGTGCGCCGCGTTCGGGGAACGTGCAGAGTGCGTCAGGTGCGCCTGCGCACGTGACAGCACACATCTGGAAACATGTCGGCCCCCGCCATCCTTGTCGAAAACCGATGCCCATCGTTGTGTTTGGTGGGCCTGCGCACAGCAGGCCGCGCGTCACCATCCCCGCGGTTCCTGTCAAACACCATTTGACAGCGATCGCGGGATGGCCGCGCATGATTCAGAATTAGCCGCGAGGTGCATGTTGTATTTTTTGTGTCAGGGATGGTAGCCCTGCGCACAGCAGGGAACATGCTGGCACCCCCGCCGCCATTGTCAAAAACAAAACAAAGTGTTCGCGGGCCTCACGATCATGACTCAAAACTTTGCCCCAAATTCGTGGGGGGGGCGTATCTGGTTGGAGAGAGGTTCTTTTGGAAGAGGAAAGAAAGATCTCGTTAGACCGCCTGTCGCCCAGAGGGCTGGCGGGATGCCATGAACATAGCTGGCATCGCTTGGGCGTGTGTTTTTTCCCGGCGAGGACATCGAGAAGCATCCTGGAGCATTTGGCAAAACATGCAAGCACGAAACTGAGAAACGCACGGGGAATGGACGTCCGAGCGACGGTGAGCATAAAGATTCGGATCGGCGCGCCAGGGGAGGCGCCAGAGGCGCCACTAGGGGGCCCCAGCGCCGATCCGCGCGGACCTCTGAGTTTTCATGTTTACGGCATTGTTTGCTCCCTTAGGTGGAGGACCTGGCCGCTGGGCTGGTCGAGTTGCACTCGGGCGCGGCGCTGGAGGATCAGCGAAGGAAAATATACCGATACCGCTACACACTTCCCGCGTTTTCGCCTGTTTGGGCCTCCTGGGAGGCCCTCGTCGCCACGGCTTGATTCGCTTCGAAATCCTGGTCAGAGTGCACCCCTGGAGAGGTCCGGGGAGTAGGTGTATGGGTAGATTTTGGCTTCCGCAGAGGATCTCCAGCGATATGACTTGTTCAATCCCTACGGTTTGTCTTCGTTTTCGGTTTTGTCGGGCCCTGGTCCATCAGAAGTTGGTCCAGGGCGAAAAATTGATATCGGGGCACCTCTGGGGGCGCGCATTGAACAATTCATGTCAGAGGATCCGCCCAGAGGAGGGCATGTCGAGATTGCGGCGGCCTTTCCTGGCATTCTTCTCGTCGTTTATTGGGCATCCTGGGGGCTGTTCGTCGCCACAGCTGGGTCCGCCCCGAGAAGGGGGTCAGGACGGAGCCCGGGAGGGGTCCGGGGACCGAATTTGAAAGGATCTGGCCGGGCGGGAGAGCCGCCGTGGTCTCAGCTGGCCCTCCTCCGACTGAGGATCCGCACGGCGCCTGGCTGGGCGCGCCAGAGTACTGCTGCGCCTCCGACTGGGACTGTCCAGGCCTCCCAGGTGGGGCCGGAGCGGGTGTGGTCGGAGGATCGGCGAGTGCGGTGTTATCCTCCGACCCGATCCACGCCCCAGACCTCCGAAGTCGTGAGTTCCTGTCAGCGTGGTTCCCTCGAGGTCTAGACCCCTTCCTGAGGACCAGCTTTCTGACTGTCCTGGAGCCCGGTGATCGCCGCCGACCAAGCCATCCCAACCCAACCCGAAGGCCCTGGTTTGCCCTGCATTTCCAGTGGGGTGGGAGAGTCGGGGAGCATTGAGAAAACACATATGAAGCCCGTCCCCCCCCCCCGAACCCGAAATTCAAATTCGGATCTTCAGGTCGGGCTGGGGTGGTCTGGTGGGGAGTCGGGTGAAGGCCCACGGAGGCTGACAATCCCCAGACCTTCGCGTCGTGGTGTTTCACGACGAGGGGGGGTATGGCTCTCGGGCAGTTAGAAGCCTGGTTCTCTAGCGGCCCTTCGGGGCGATCTGGACACCCTCCGATCGCCCTTGGCGAGGCGCAGCTGCTGGAGAGCATCCCGGAGGCTGGGAGAGCCCAGGGATCCGACGAAACATTCGGACGAAGACCTCATTCAGGTTCGGGGCGATCCGGACGCCCTCTGATCGCCCTCGGCGAGGCGCAGCTGACGGAAAAGGCATCCCGGAGGCTGGGAGAGCCCAGGGAGCCGACGAGACCTTCGGACGACAACCTCCTTTGGGAGGCCTGGAGGCTACCCTTCTTCGCCCGGGCGGCCGGACGCGATCTTGGTGTCCCACTTGCGCGCCGGGAGCGCGAGCGCCATCGTTTCGCGGCTGTGCGAGCTCTGCAAGGCGTGGGAGGGATGCGGAGGATCACTGACGCGCGCGTTGTCTTACGTGCGTGCCACTCCTTCGTTTCTGCTCAGATGCCTCTCATCAACGTCTGACCTATCCGCATCCCCAGTGTGCCATGGTATCTCAGCGCCACAAGCCCCACGGCTGACACGCGCGTCGTCTTACGTGCGTGCCACTCCGTTTTTGCTCAGATGCCTCTCAGCCTCGTCTGACCTATCCGCATCCTCACTAGGCCATGGTATCTCAGCGCCATAAGCCCTACAGCTGACACGCGCGTCGTCTTACGTGCGTGCCACTTCTTTGTTTTTGCTCAGATGCCTCTCAGCATCGTCTGATCTATCCCCATCTCCACTGGGCCATGGTATCTCAGCCCCACAGGCCCACCCCGATGGGGATGTGTCCCGCGAAACGCGAATGGAGCAGCGTACATCCGCACCGAGGGTGGTGGGTCGACCAGTGGGCCCAAGGCCATGCCAGTGGGGATAGGGAGCGGTTAAACAATGCTCAATCGTAAGCACGCTAGTGGGGTCGTTTGGTCGGCCGTGACATTGCGATTGTTTTTGCTCTTCGACAGGCGCAGCCGCTCGGGCCGCGGGAGCTTCACGACACGCTCGGGTCGGAGCTGCCCGCGCTGAGCAACATGCGGCTCCTGGTCTTCGTGCAGGCCCTGCACTTGCTGTGCCGGCCATTCTCGGGGGACGCCGGCTGACCATCCTCGCCATAGCAGGCGGGTCCTGAGGGCATCGTGTCCTGAGGTTGTTCGCCGTTCTCAGTTTTCCAGTGGCCTCCACAGGCCCCATGACTGTCAAGGATGCTTTGGGGGAAGGCGGGCTTGCCCCTCTACAGGAGGAGTATTCAAAAATAGTGAAAATCATTATTCATTTGTTCTTCCAAGATCCTAAGATTTGGGGACTCGGGGCGAAGATCTTGTCCCCAGGCCCTGGGCCCAGGACCCGCCTGCGTCATGCCAGGACCACCTCCCCGAGCGTGGCCGCGCCCCTGCTGGGGCCAGGGTCGGCGTGCATGCAGACCTCCCCGCGCCCTGGCAAAAAGTCACGGCGGGAGCTTCCCCGTGAACTTTCAGCCCTCCTCCCCTCCTCCCCTCCTCCCTCCCCTCCTCCCTCCTCCCGCCTCCCGCCTCCCGCCTCCCGCTTCCTGCCTCCCTCCTCCTACCGCCGCCCTCCGCCCTCCGCCCTCGGGGCCCCCCCGAGCACCAGGCCCCAGGGACTGCAAAAACAGATGGCCGGGGAGGAAGCGCTGGTCCTGGGGACGGGGTCCAGACCTCTGGCGGTGGGCACTGTGAGAAACACGACCCCGGCGGTCTGGGTGCGTGGCTCCCTGGCAAAGCCAGGAGGGGTGCCGGCGCCGGTCCTGGGGACGGGGTCCAGACCTCATGGCGGTGGGCACTGTGAGAAACACGACGCCGGCGGTCTGGGTGCGTGGCTCCCTGGCCAAGCCAGGAGGGTGTGAAAGCCCGGTTCTGGGCCCGGGATGGGCGTGGTCAGGATCGGCGCAGCGGTCAGCTGACGTCCCGCGTCCTTCGGCCTCCACGTGCTTGCGGGTCATCGCGAGAGAAACGTCGGCACGATTGTCGGAGGCCCGCGCCGACTTTGGTCGGCGCTGGACCGCCTGGCGGCCTCCGGCGCTGCTCCTAGTCGGAAGCTGGAACATATACATTACCAGTGTCGGGTGAGCGTAAGACCCGGGTTTGCCAGGACTCGGGTTCGCCATCGTTTTTTGACGACCGCGCCTCGGATTTTGACGAGGAGGAGTTTCGTGGGATGTCTGCAGCGGGAGGCCTCGTCAAAATGCAGGCTCGGCCTCGTCGTTTTTTTGACGACCTCGTCGAGGATTTCCGAGTCCCCTGTACCCAGGTCTTACGTCCCCCTGACAGTGGCGGGGTCGGTTTCAAGCCCAGGAACTTTTCAGGGTTGGGGACGACGTGGGGGTGGTGTGGTGTATACTTCTCCCCCGTTTTCCAAGGGAAACAACGAAAAATGTATACACCAGGATCCCGGATACACCAGGATCCGCGTTCCTGTGCGAATTTCAGTGCAGGGTCGGAAAAAGCGTCGGTGTATAGAGCTCGTTTCCCTACCTGGCGCACTCTTCGCGCCATGGAGGGCGTGTCCAGCGCCGATCCACAAAGTCCGCGGGGATCTCTGACAGTGTACGTTTATGCAGCCAAGCCGCTTCACAAGGAGAAGTATTTTTCCTAGGGCACTCGTGCACATCACCCTCCGCCACTGGCCAGGGGCTTCCATCTTCGGCTTCAGCTTTGGTGTCCAAGGGCCCTTGCACCCTTAGCGCGATTCCTTATGCTCCGGCCTCGCCAGGGAGGGGGGAGGGGATCCGCGGGGATCTCCAACAGTTCATGAGTACGTCGCTGCCCTCGTCGGTTCCGTTGTCTTTTTGCCATTGTTTTACCAGCCTCGAACGTATCCGTATCCCCAAGATTGACACGCCAAAAGGCGATGACAATCTTAGGGATTCGCCCTCAAAAAATAAGGGAATCCCTAAGATTGGCATCGTGATGAGGAGGTGCCCAGCATAGGGATAGGGATATGCTCCAGGCCGGTAAGTTGTTCTCGGCGAGGACGACGCAAAAAGAAGAGGAGGAGGAGGAGGAGGTTCGCGAGGATTCCTTGCGATCCCCTTCTTTTTCCTCCTTCATTGCGAATGCCCAGTAGCCTGGGAAAGCAGTCGTGCACGCACGCCGCCCCCGAAAGATTCTTAGGGCCAAGTGCCACCCGCGGGCGGGACTTCCAATCGGCGGAGGCACTCCCCGCGGCCGGGGATGCCCCGTGTATCACATTTCGGCGTGGTTCCTTCGTGTGCTTGGCTTTCGGAGGAGTCGTTGGAGCTTCGGGCCCTCCCCTCCTTCGCCCTCCACGCCTTCCCACTCCTCTCCTCTCCTCTCCTCTCCTCTCCTCTCCTCTCCTCTCCTCTCCTCTCCTCTCCTCTCCTCTCCTCTCCTCTCCTTCGTAGGTCAGGGGCTACCCCACGACGCGGTCCTCGGTCGCGTCGGCGGTGGTGGCGGCCGTGGCGGCCGCGCGCCTCGCGTCGCTGCCCCTCGAGACCAGCGAGCAGCTCGCGGACTTCCGGTCATCCCCGTTCCTGACGGAGCAGGACCGCAGGGCCCGATTCGACCCGACTCGGCATCGATTGAGCTCCGAGGCTCGAGGTTTTCGAGCTCAAGGTTGTGATGTTGTGTTCTTCGTCCAGCATGACAGTAAGCCAAGGAAAAGTTGTGTGCCTGAGGTGATCCAACAGATCTGCATGTGTGTATACATATATATATATATATATACACATGTGTGTATGTGTTTCTGTGTGTATGCGGTCATGGCTCTGCAACGGCAGGGTGCGCAGGTTCAAGGCTTTCCAGGTTTTCGACGTTTCCTGGAGGTTTCCCTGCTTCGGGATGCGTTCCAGCAGCTGTGCTTCGCAGAGGGCGTTCCAGGGGCGCCCTGGCCGTCCCGAAAGGCCGCTACCGACTCGAGTTACGACCCGGAAACCAAGTGACGCTTCAGCGCCCGTTTTGGTCCGATCGATACGATTCGATGTCGGTGTCGGCCTGTCGGGTCCGATTTCACCTTGCCTATCCGACAATCCGATGCGGCCCGATGCTCGGATGGCTCTGTTATCGTTGTGCATCCTGGCGCGGCCGGTTCGGCTCGACTCCGACTCCCTGACGATGCAGCCCGATTCGATGCACGTTCACGATCCGATTCTATTCATCAGTCCGGTGCTGACCGGTCCGACCTCGAGAGGTGTAGAATGAATGTCCTGTGCCCGATGGCCAAAAGGCAGATTTATATCGCTGTTCGTCCGCCAGGGATCTAAGGCAGACCTAGGACGATGATGCGAATCGCTCCAGAGCTCTCCACAGCGCTCTCTGGAGCGTCCTGGAGCGCTCTGATTTTCGACCGACTAGCTCTCAGAGATTTTCGCTGTATCTCGATCCAGATTTGCCTTCATCCTGCTTCGTCTCAGGATCCAGACTTCGTAGTGGGAATGTGGCATATTGGGTCGGAGGATCGCTCCGCATCCCCGCTGCACCGGCGATGCATATTTATCTGGAGCCTGAATTGTTCCACGTAAGTCCTGATTTTTCTAAGCGTAAACCCCTGGATGTCTGGACATGCTTCCCCGAGCCAGTCTGTCATCCCAAGTCTCGTTCTGCTTGCCCAGGAAACCAGCGTTAATTCGAAACCCTGCGTGGTGATTTCTGTCACGAGGATGGAAGGTTTGGCTTTCGGGTCAAAACTTGAGTTTCTGGCAGGCGCGAATGTGTGGCGATCCGGGCAGTCCCAGGACGTGCTCGGCGAGGCGCAGCTGCTGGAAAGCATCCGGAGGATGGAAGGGCCCCAGGGCAGCTAGAACGTTTCTCCGCTGTCCGTCCTGCGGCGCGACCTGGACCGCGCGACGATGGAACCGACGAGACCGACGGTCGGAAACCTCATGTAAGAGCCTTCCAGGCTACCCCTGCTCGCCCGCGCGGCTGGATCTCTAGCAGCACGTGGGCGGCCTCCACAGGACAGGTCCGACCTCCTCGACCTCCTGGTGCCGGTGGAGGGCGCGCTGAGCCGTCCACTCGAGCTCTTCGCGTGGGGCCGCGGGGGGGCTGGCCAGCCCGTCTGGCCCGTGGAGGACTGCGACGAGGGCGCCGTGCACGATCACGAGAGCGTTCAGGTCCAGGGGCGGGCGCAACGCACGCAAGGAGGGCATTTCGTAAATGAGAGGGCGTATCGCGGGTTGTCGGAGGTCTAGGCCTCTCAGATGGGGTCCGAGCAGATGGGGTCGGAGGATTGCGCCGCATCGCCGATGCATCGGCGATGCGGCTCGATGTGGAGCCCGATTGCTTCCACGCAAACGTCTCCTATGCATCCTTGACGTCGCCAGTGCATGGCCGATGCATCGGCGGTGCATCGGCGATGCGGAGGCCTCTAGGACTCTAGGACTCTAGGAGGTTGATAGACCTCCTACCCTGACACGTCGATTAAGGAATTGGCCGTTGTCGGTTCGCGAGAGGGCGTCGCGGCCGTCATTTTTGCGGGTCCAGGTCCATCGGTTTCGGTCCCAGGCCGTTTTCACTCAGGGGATATTTTTTTGAAGGGAGGTTTGTTCACCGCCGGGGTTGGAGGAAAGGGGCACCGAAGGTGCACGAAAGGCGCACGTGTCTTCGCTCCACCCTGCTTACTGTCCCCTAAAATGCAGCGCAGCGCCCGACGCAACTGGTGGTCGGCGCTAACGGGGGTCGTCCGTAGCGTTCTTCCCGTCGGGTTTTCTCTCAGATTTTCGGTGCCCGCGGATGGCTTTCATCAGTTTTGCCTCGTCGATAGCGTTTCAGCGTCAATGCCAATTAATTAATCTCGTATGGTTTTCGGTGGTATTCGGAAATTCTCGAAGGTTCTCAGGACCCAGGATGGTTTCCATCAGTTGCGTCTAGGCGAGAGCGCTCCAGTGATGCCAGAAACGTCCCGAACGGTTTGTGGAGGCCCTGGTGATGGCCAGACAGCCAGTTCAGCGGACATGAGTTTTTGTCACCACGACATACTTCCACTATGCGTGCGTCGCCCCTCACCCCGGCAGGGGCTGGGCATGCGCGCTCAGAAACTATGTAGTATTTGTT